AAAAATCTAAAGAACTTAGATAAGTTAATATAAAAACTCAATAAGAAAAATGAGCAAGGAGACTTAAAGGGCACTATGTAATGGAGGATATACTGGGTTAGCCAAAAGTATGTTTAGTTTTTTCCATAAAATAGAAGACACATTTTTCATTTTTACCAATAACTTTATTGACACTTATATTTCGAGTATGTTGACTATCTCCCCCGATTGACTTCTAGTGGGTAGAAGCCAGGGGTGCTGCTAAACATCTTCCAAACCATGAGACAGCCCACAGCAAAGAATTATTTGGCCAAAATGCCAATAGTACCGAGAAACTTCACAGACCACTTTTGACATGTTTGATCAGTCACAACTCCTTCTCCATATTCTGTACAAATCTTCCTTTTGCATTTCAGTTGTGTTTTTTACCTTTTTTGAAATAATAAAGCATAATACACCAAAAATGTTGCTTATTTTCTTCCATCTTCAGTATTAAAGGGGCTGCACAAAAATTCACTTATCAGTTTGGTAAGTTTTTAAAGATGCACACTGATATGACAGCTGTCACAATACAGTCTAACAAAATTGTTTTGAATGAAGTTAAAGACAACTAAGCACTACTAGAACCATCTTATGAAAAGAAACTAAACAAACTTTTTGGCCAACCTAATACAATGGACAATGAATTTATGAAAGGTGGTTAACTTTTTATTCTTAGAGACTTAGGGGAGTAAAAGTGGTGGAGGACTACATGCTCTGAAAAAAATCTCTCAGGTAATTTAGATTTTACCCACTAGGGGGAGTTCTTTCATTTGTTTTTAATCTGTATCAGGGAAATGCAGACATAAACTACAATCTGGTTTATATGCAGAGGTCTGGTCTTTCCTGAATAGTTAAAATTAAAAGACTGACAATGCCAAGGTGGCAAAAATGTGGGGCAATGGGTACTCTCATATACTGCTGGTGGGAATACAAATTGATACAACATTGAAAAATTGTTCGGCATTATCTGGAGACAGGACCTGACATGAGAAAGCCTTCTAAGGCTGGTAATTTTCTTTCTTTTCTTTTCTTTCTCTTTTTTTCTTTTTTAAAGATTTTATTTATTTATTTTTAGATAGAGGGGAAGGGAAGGAGACACAGAAGGAAATATCAGTGTGTGGTTGCCTCTCGTGCACCCCCTCCTGGGGACCTGGCCTGCAATCCAGGCATGTGCCCTGACTGGGAATTGAACTGGTGACACTTTGGTTTGCAGGCTGGTACTCAATCCACTGAGCCACACCAACCAGGACATGGTAATGTTATATTTCTTGACCTGGAAGGTTATGTTTACTTTATGATAACTTTGATTTGAGCATTTAAAAATACACCTAACACTTCAGTTGTAGAATAAACAATAAAAAAGTTAAAAGTGGAACAATAAAGTGGGATTCCTGACCAGAAGAATATAGGCAAGAGTGTGGCAAGTAGACAGAAACTCAGGAAAGGAGAAAAGCAGATGGGGGCTGCAACATCTCTCTACATATTTCAGATTCTTCCCCTAGGTGTCTGCTTGTCTTTCTTCACCCTCAGAATTCTTGCCCTATGCAAATATTTTGTTTTGACTTTTTTCCCCCTTCAATGATCTTCATAGGGAATAATAACTTAAAGGGCTGAAACATGTTCAGGGCTTTTAGGAGAGTGCCAGTGACTTTAGGAGAGATACCTTGGTCCAATGGAGGTAGTGAAATCCAGAGTATTATTCTGGTCCCTCAGTTAAGAAACAGTAAACTTTGGGCTAGTCTTTCACCAAGCACACATGTAATCACATAAAGTTGAGTGCTCCGCAACTATTATACTTCCATTACTTTTACACACCTGTTATCTAAAGCTTGGTTGTGATTTTAACTACATTAGTCTACCTTGGATCCTTTTTGTATTAACATGTTTACTAGTTTTACTAAGTATACTTAAGAGTTGCCTGTGACCTTTTATTCCTGTGACACAACTTTACCTCTCTGACTTTGGGCAAATCACTTAACTTCTCCTTGGTTTATTTCTTCATTTGCAAATGAAGATTATAATTTTATTCAATATACCATCAGGAGATTAAATAATACATATAAAGTGCACAGTACAGCATCTGAAATGCAGTAAGGGCTCAATAAATGTTAACGGTTATTATTTTCTCCATAAACCAAAATTTGACTGTAGTTTGGAATGGCTGATGCATGGCAGGCCGGATAGCGGTGGTGGAGAGGGTGGAACTATGGGTGGAGAAGTAAGCAGTTACCAGATCAGAAGGGTTTTGTGTCATGACCAAGAAGATGGACTTCATCCTATAGGCCACAACTTCTCAAGCCATCCCTCATGCAAGTGTGGACTTCTATCGGTAGGGGTCAGGTTATGGCCAAAGATATTTCCCCCAAACATTGTATCATTTCATTTCCTGTTTAATTTTAAAAACACATAGGAATTTTGTATTTTATTCTATAACATGTTCCCTGGGAGGGAGGTGCCTTCAAAGGTCAATTCTTGGTTGAATGAAATGGATGGCATTTGGAAGTAGTCTCAGTCCACTCCAGAGAAACCATGTCTAGTCATTGAACCAACTTTCTGAGATGTCCCAATTTCAGTATCATGGTATCTTAAAGATAAGAATGATTCTGAAATCAAACACGTGCGCATACGCACACATGGCTAAACATTGTAAATCCCATAATACTTTTTCTTAGGGGTTTAATAAAAATCCTGGACTTTGGAAAATATTCTTACACAAAAAAGCAAAGACAGGATGGAATAGGCTTGTGTTCTGATTATTCTGAAACTCCAGTCAAGCTGTAACTGGTTAAGAGCCTGTTAGAACCAGGCTTTGCCCTGTAGCTTCCACAGGTGAATATGATGGATTAATGAATGGAGGGTCAGGAAACTCTTGTCTTCACTGCACTTCTTCATGCCTTGACTGAGGTCAAATATTGCCTGTCATTACTGTTCAGAGGCAAATATCCCTGTAACCATTTACCTGTCAGCAGGTTTCCTCTTGAAAGAGGGTGGGGCAAAGATGAGAGAGGAGGGTGGGGCCAGACAGTCAGTCCTAGGAAAGTCAGGGGAACAGAGGTGTCTCTCTTTTCTAGGGCTGGCCTTACTTTCACGAGGTCTAAAAATTTCCTACTTAAAAAAAGTCCTACTCTCCTACCAAGAAATTAGTTCAGATAGTTTGGAGAAAAGCCAACCCCCAACCATTTTTTCCCCATAGTGTCAGCATTTTGTTAAAGTGAACAAATGTGTTAAGAAAAAACCCCCACAAAACAATATGCAGAAAATGGCAAGCAAAACGCAGACAATAGAAATTTGAAAGTCTAACCAGAACAATTTTTTGAAAAGTCGAGGACAGCAAACATGAAAGCTATTTGGTAACTTACAGTGTATAGTCTTTGTTTTTATTGGGTAATAGCCATAGGGCAAACTTTACAGTTTATTCTTTAAAAGTCACATGACAGCCTTAAACCAGAGTGCTGCTAGAAAATGATAGGATGTTTGGTGATATTTCACTGAGACTGAATTTTTAAGCCTCCTAATCTTAAACACATGATTACCATAGAGATGATATCTAGTCATAAGGCTTCATACTTCCTATTTATACTTAGTCTATTTTAGTATAGACTTAGTTGAATTATAGCAATTAGATAATAGTTGAAACTGACTTATAGCCAAAAACATAATTCTACTAATATGTTAAATAAAGCTGAAAGTTTAGCATAAACAAGAGCTTGTGAGGCTGTTACACTTTATTTTAGCATCTGATATGAACCAAAAAAAATGACACATCAAAATAGAGAGAGAGCTAGGTAGATAAACAACATGCAACATCTCTTTATTTACTCCTATAACTTAACTAAAACTATTACTATTTTCAAAAATAGTTTTCTTTTCCTAGGAACTGGAAAACCTTAAAAAACATTATTTTAAAAGCCTCACAACTAATTTTCATCTTATTTAGCAGATAAAATGTTATTTTTCATTTGCAAGCTTTCAGTTGGTAGAAACTACGTAAGGTACTTAACATACATTTTTATTTCTTATTTTTGTCATAACTTTAGTGAAAAATTCCAAAACCAACTGAATAAAGCTTTATGATGAAAAGTATTGTTAGATGATTCTGGTGATCATGGTGTTCTGGGTAGAAAGTTGCTTTGTTAGTGCCTATTAGATAAAGCATATGGTACATAGCTAATATTTGAAATCTTGTTACTCTTCTATATTTCTTCCCCAAACTCCAAGGGGGATAAAGAAAAGGAAAAAGATGAAGGGAAGAAAAGAACGTCTGGTGACTCAGGTAGCCTCAGGTGGACCAGTCCCAGCAACCTCTAAGTGGGCTCGAGAAGGGCTTGCTACACCCGCGTATGTGGCGATGGCCTTCAATGGTGACCCCATGGTGCGGGGGGGGGGGACACTTCTCCTATGAAGGGACAGATGATGCACATTTCACATTTGCTGTAACCGCTCTGCCACCGCAGCACAACATGATCGAATGAGTGCGGCTGTGTTTAAGTAGCCCTCTTTTTACAGACTTTGAAATTTACAGTTCATAGAATTTTCCCATCATAAAATATTATTATTATTTTGATTTTAAAAACCATTCTCAGTTCTCTGGGCCACACAAAATAGGTTGCAGGCCAGACTCGGCCCGTGAGGCGTAGTCTGCGGACCCCGAGCCACACTCTCGGTCGGAGTGATCCGCTCATTGCTCTCTGGCCTCAGGATGGTCCTCGCCCATCTTGCTTTCTCGGGGCTCCTTTCTTTCCTTTCTGGGGCTCGAGGGACATTAAAAGTGACTGATAGACATTAAAAAGATGAAGGTGCTTTTAATATCTCTTTTTATCCTAGCTGATTTTTTTTTTTTTTTTTTTGCAGGTTCATTTCTTAAACATCTAAGGAGGCATTGCAACCTGAGATTATAAAACTAGACAGGTTATCTATTTTCCAATGCTTTTCTTTTTAAGGCCTACTACTATTACTTAATCAATTAAAAAACTTGGACATTTAATTTAAGGGACTGTACATTTCTATTTTTTAATAAACCACATGACAAAACAATACTTTATTTCATAATTGTACAGGAAATTACAATTTAAAAGTTGCAAATACAGTACATATACATATACTATACTTTGATTTTTAAATTACATGGACAAACACCAGCTTCAAAAACTTTCTAAAATCAATCATATGCAAAATACTGGTTTCTGAAGGGGTATATGTAAAAGTATATACAATTTATTAAAACTGTGATATGGCTTACTTAATAAAATGTATTTACTTAGAGAAACACAGCTTTCCAGATACACAGTATCTTCCAGGTGCAAAGCAGACACACTGGCACATTCCAATTTTCGGCTGCAGTTATTTCAGAAAGTTTTAATTGCAGTATTTAAATTGACACTGTCAGAGAAAGTCTCCATAAATGTTTTCCAATCTTGCAGAAAATCAGAAACCGTTCGTAGGTCCTCACAGTATGATGAAAAGAACAGGCTAAACCCTCTGTCAGCCAGAATTCAGTGACAGGCTGGCCTGAATGCACATGCACGATTCAATACTGCGGAAGTCCCACAATTTCTTCTCTCCAACGTCTGTGCTCCTACCAACACCACGAATAACATCCCTGATTGCTGATCTGTAAAACAAATCTGAAGCCCTGCCTTGGGGGACTCACATAACAGATCTGCAGTTCGAGTTTGCAAATGGTATTTTGATTAGAAAGCTATGAAGCTTAATCAGTGACGTGGAGATCAGAACTGCCTCCTCTCAACACAGCATACAGCAAGGTGTCACTATTCATTTGTGACTAATACTCAATGGCTCATGAGTTAAGTGTGGTTCAAAGACAAACTGAATCAAGTGAACTAATCGTATACCTATGAACATATTCTGTAACTCTAAATTTACTGTATGTAAGGTACAGTCAATAAAAAAATTGCCTAAAAGCTTATTTTAAAGGGGCTCAAATTCTGTAAGAATATCTTATTCTTTATGATGAACCAATTAATATAAATGCATAAAAAGAAAATAAATTTAGCTAATTGTGCTTGCTTAGGAAGCGAATGATTATCTCTTCTAAATAGTAAGAGTGGCTGTTGGAGAAGCACAAGCCGGAGTCTAACTAACAATGATTTCCCCTGTGCGTGGTCTATTTCCATTGCCCTTACTCAGTGAGCAAAGGACCTGGATCAGGAACAACCAGCTTTTAAAAAAAGGTTTTCCCCACCTAGAAACACTTTTATAAATGGTGCATTGTCTCTGAAAGATGGTTTTTCCTCACATTAAAATAAAAGGGGAGTTCACATCTATGTCTATTCTGGGAAAATTCTACGAAAGATAAACACTGTCAGTGGAGACATCTGGGTTCGGGAGACAGAACCAGAACACCGAGACTCCTAAAATCAGGAAACACTGTTTTAGAAAATGGAAATAAAGCATCCAGTGTTGAAAAAGAATAAGAAAACTAAGAAATCCAGTAAGTTGGCAAACAACACTGATGGAAGCTGCAGGTTGTGAGAATCTGGGCTCACGTTACACAGGCATAGCTAATGGAAAATGTATGTGGGAATTACAGCCACTTCTGGTTCTGCATTTCAAAGCTCTCTGAAATATGCCTTGTTCAACTACATTCCCCACATTGTATTTCTAAGGCAGCATGGTCATCAACAAACAATAGGCCTTTTCCTAAAATAAATCAAAAGGCTACATCTGGCCAGAGTTGTGAAACACAGGTTTATGTACGCAACTTCGATCATTTGCGAATATTAATTAAAACATGTCTCGCTGAAGAGCTGCCCAGTGTTTATGTTATGATCTGTTCTGCCAGAGCAAAACGAACCGTGATACACGAACGCCCTTGCTCTCCGAGCTGGCGGAGGGGTGGAACTGGTGCCGCGGGTGTGGTGCGGGAGGGCAGAACAATGGCTGTGTGTCAGAGGCTGGGCGGTCCCTGCTTGCATCTGCTAAATGCACACCCTTCTGGGCAGTTTTTGTCTAGTTACAAAAAGTTAAACCTATCAATTATCAAATCTCACAGACCCAGTAAAGTACAAAATCTGTAGTTCTTGCTACAAAAAAAAGCACAGAAAACTTTGTGTACCCAATTTAAATAGAACACAGTAATTAAGATTTACAAAAGTTTTCAGTGTTTACGCATTTTCCAAAGGTATCCTTTCCAATCCTCAAATGGATTTTAGACTTTTACCCAATAATTTTTCAAGGAACTAGTTGATATGAAAAGTTAGGCATATCTACTTAAGATAAAGGAAAGTCTACGAGAAACGAGCTCAGTAGATACGGGAAGCAACTGCAGACCTGGGAATATTCACTGCCACATAATGTACATTCTCTTCCTTTCTCTTGCTAGATGCACAAAGCCATAAATGCCCAGATGTGCACTGACATGCCTCTCATTTATTCTTACCTGCCTTCAATATTTAAGAGTGTTTTTTTATTTAAACAGTTTATATGCTCCTGAAATTTTTGAAAAATTCTAATTGTCATTAAATGGATTCACGGTAAGAATTCTATAAAATTTGCAATTCAATTCAACCAACCCTGGGCTTTATTAGGTACCATTAACCTCCATTGATCCTTTTGTTGGATATCATCAACTCTTAACAATCTTTTAGGTAAACCCAGGTTTTATCTTAGGTTTACTTACAGTGAGGTACTTGGTATAAAGATGAAATCTGTTTCATAATCTTTACTTAAATTTTAAGTCATCTGTTTTCTGATCTAAGATTTCATCTCACAACCGGTCTGGTACATTGTTACTTTACTCTGATCCTCTGCTGAAAATGGACTACTAACTTGCACAAAGATAAGAGCAAAACCAACAGTTGCAAAATGAAACATGAATATTCACAGTTGCCTCTTTAATGCAACTGTTACCGATTACATTGCCTTCTGTTTAGAGACTTATGCTTAGCCTCCCTACTACACAGATTTAATGTTCATCCTACTCCAGTGCTTTGAAACATACACACACACACACACACACACATTCTCTCTCTCTCTCTCTCTCTCTCTCTCTCTCTCTCTCTCTCGCGCGCGCGCGCACAGAGTCAAAAATCCTTAAAATTTTTGTCTTCTCAGAGTAATATCTTCCCCCAATCCCTTTCAGCTTTTCTGCTATGGTATTACTAGAAAACCTCAAAATTATATCTTATGGTTTCCGCAGTCCATGGAGAATCCCTAACCCATATCATCAAACAGAAATTCTCTCTGGAGGAATGTAGTTAATCTACATGCAAGAGGTGGGTATCACAATCTGATCCTCAGCCCTCCAGAGTTCCACCCTGAAAGGGCGCACACAGATTAACTGGTATGAAGGCAGGAAGCAAGGTACCAGGCAAGCTTTCTGTATAAAACATAAGGCAGTTCTTACAAGGACAGAGCATCATTGTTTACATTTTGCAGTCTCTTGCTGTTCTTAAGATAAATTCTATGAACAATAAAAGTGGTTTCAAGAAGACTTAAATCTGACTCTTCATACCCCATCCTTGTGTCTGTATTTTGTTTAAATTATCATATAGTAATTTCAATTTAAGATTAACTTCTGCCATTCAGAATAATACTGAAAATATTTCCTAAGCAATTTAATGACAGTGACAAAGATTCGGTTCTGATAAGATTACAAATAACCAAAAGCATTAACTTTGGGATTCAAAACCCTATAACATTTGGAAAAACTTGTTTGTAAGGTACAACAATAGCATTAAGACTTATTTGTGAAGAAAAACATTTCTGAAACACTTAGGAATACATGCTTATTCCACTCTGGATAATTACTAGTACTTTCTGAAATCTGTTGAGAAATAATTTCTGTAAAAAGAGAGTTGGGTGTCAAATTCCAGAAGCTGAGTGTCAAGGTTATGTTTTTAAAAATTCAGTTTTCCAGCATGAGTTTGATATAAAATGGGCTTTAAAAAGGATTTTTAAATGCAAATACAGAATTCTTGATGCTTCCTTTATGACATACACTCTGTTGTATTTAATGAAGTATCATCTTGGATTGTCTTCTCTGAGGTATCTGTAGAGTCACATCTCGTTCTGTAAACAGTGTTTTGGAAACATCTTCATCTAAAAATCATGGTGAGGTCTCATTTTACCTTTCGACAGAAACGAGCACTCTCAGGCCGACTGTCTGCGAGCCCGGTGCCTGACATGGACACGGCTGTCAGGACCCCACTTTCCCGTTTTGGTGTGCGTTTATTGCTCTCAAGTCTCTGACTGCAGGGTGAGGAAGGCAGTCGTCCCCGACATGTCTAAAATTAGGAACTGGAATTCTGACAGTTTGCACAAGTTCTGTCCACTTCTTGCCTGTAACTCTGAAGCTGAACAGTACATTTATACATACCAAACGTGCTCAGTAATAAATGCTTGGCTTTGGACTGTACTTCCTCCCATTTAGATGAACTTCCAGGATCTGCAATGTCAAGAAAATACTGTTACTGTTCATTGTACATTGCACATTACTGAATAAGACACAGGGGAAAAACAATCTTAGTATACTGTGAACATATTTTATGAGTTTGATTTCTACCCTTTTAAGTTATTCTGTTAAAGAAGTGTGTCAGTTTACAAAGCCAGATAGGCTTCTCATTATCTCAATCTCTCTAGTCCACTCTCAGGCAGAGAAAGAAATCTAGACATCAATTACAGGTCTTTCAACTTTTGTACTTTAAAAGAAAACCTCATACATGTATTATTTTGATAAAAAATAAAAAGGCATCTGCGAAATGATTTAAAGAAATAAAAACAGGCTCTAGCTTTTCTTATGTAGAAAAAGCATGGAAAACATACTTAATGCCCTTATTTTTTAAAATCCTCACTCAAGGATATGTTTTATTGATTTTTTTGGGGGGAGGGGGAGAGATGTGAGAGAGAAACATCAACATGAAAGAGACATCAGTCGGTTGCCTCCTGTGTGCGCCCTGACAGAGGATTGACCTCCCAACCTAGGCATGTGCCCTGACTGGGGATCAAACCTGCAACCTTTTGGTGTATGTGGGGTGATGTTGCAACCAACTGAAGCACTTGGCCAGGGCATGTACTTAATGTCTTTAATCTGTAGGCAAAAATCTATTCGTAGTGTTTCATCTCAAAGAGATAAAAAATTATTGCTCTACTATAAATATTGACCTGCAACTCACTTTTTGAAGAGTCTGCACCTTCCTTACAAAAAGTCTTTCCAGCAGAAAAGTCTTCTTATTCAACTATAAGCACAGATGTTTAATCCAAAGACAGAAGCCCACCAACCCCAATATTTACCGTCAGCCACATACTTAGCTGTATGTGTACTATGGCCATGGGTTTTCCTGAAGTGAGAGACCAAACATTTAAATCTTCCACTGAATGAACATCTTCTATCTTCATCAAGGCTTCTTTGATATAGTCTACATTCAAATGCCTTGGTACACCTATTAATTCAGAATATATCATTTATAAGTAAAGTTTATTTTTGGGAAAAAAGTTATACATTACTGGTAGGATTTTTTTCCCCCAAATTAAACCAACTGGCTTTGCCAAATTTGTTTCACTTTAAAATATATTAATACTTTAAGATAAACCATGCACACACATAGGATATACACAAAAGGTTATACACAAAAGGTTAATAAATATTTTATTTATTATTTTATTATATTTTAGAACTGTTCATTCTCACTAAAAAGGAAAATTAATCAATCCAGAATATGCCATTTAACAAAGAAGCTAGGATAGACAAAAATAGAAAAAGGAGCATCCAATGATGGTTAGCCTGCTGTTGACAACTCATATTTACATGCTTATACATAGTATTAGTAAGGCAGGGATGCTGAAAGTATAACAAAATAGCAAGATAAATTGAAATTAATAAATTAATAGATAAATTATTAAACATGCTCGCATTAAGAATCAAAGAGTTTCATTCTGGTCCTAGTTCCATAGTTTATTAGCAGCATGGCCTTAATCAAGTTATGCTACTCCTCTGAACCTCAATTTTCTTGTTGGTAAATGGAGATAATAATGTCTGCCTTACCTTCTTTTCTTAGCTATTATTAGGATCAAATGGGTAACATATGGGAAAGAGCATGGATTCTTATACATTATATATATATGTAAGGCTGTGCTACTGTAGCCTAATAAGTATCAGTAAAAAAGAAAAGGGAAGGAAAGAAAAAAGAGAAAAGAAAGGGAAAGACATGGCTCCTATACTAAAGTGTCTCCTCCCACCCCAAGTCTGACTTAAGGAAGTAATAAATCCGCAGTGGTGACATTAGTGAGATCTTACCTTCTAGTATTATAACTATTGTGTCCCATATGATGCGAAATGTTGTAAAAGCCACAAGTAATGAAAATACATATGTACAGATGGGATCAGCGATCTTGTATTCTGGCTGTAAGGTGATAGATCAACACTGTGTGATTAAAGACTGACAGACGTAGAATAGACTGTAAAGCAAAGTAAGGCAAACTCTGTGCTCTGCTCTTAGCAGGACTGCAGAATACCGTTAAAACTCGGACATTGCAATTGAGAAACTCTTTCCTAGATTATTTATATACCTTTCCTCATCGGATCTAGTGTCAGAAGTGAAATGGTTTGTACTATTATTTTCCTCTGTGCCTTCTCCAAATCTTCCACCCAGAACCACAGAATATCAGAGCTAGAAGGAGTTTTAGAAGTCATCCATTGGATTTAAGCCCCCCATTTTAAAGAGGAGGAAGCTCGAGTTTAGAGTTGTGGGACTTGCTCTAAAGGTCAAAGCATTAATGGCAGAGCCAACACTAGAACTTAGATCTCTGGATTTCACTACATGTACATTCAAGTACCTGTCAGTTATGTGACAAGGCTTAAACTTGAGTTCTCCAGAGAAGGCACTACCAAAGCCAACCACAGGTAAGCTGCCTCATGATATGGTGACTATTGTGTTCAGCACTAACAAGAGAGCTACATAGATTGGTGGCTCAGCTAGGTTTGCATAAAGGCAAAATGAATAGGACTAGCACTAGGGATCAGTATACTGATAAAAGAAAATTATCTTTAGTTTTAATGTTGAAATTAAATATATTTTAAAATAGAAAAGTTAGCAATCGTATTACCTTGAATCGTATGATGTATGCAGCTATTAGCACACCAACACTTTGTACCAAGTCCCCCAGAGCATGAACGAACGCAGCCCTCACTGCCAGGCTATCCTGCCCATGGCTGTGTCTACACCCAGAACCTGTTGTAGGAGAATTTGAAGGCAGGGAGTGGGAATGGGCATGATGGTGACCAGACTGGTTCAGCAGAAACCCCATTCTGTTAAAAATAAAAGAAAACATTATTATTCTTTCTGACACTATTCATAAAAATATTTGTGACTAATCAGATATGAATGAGGGGACATGGAACTCCTTCATGTACTAAATATTTGAGAACTTATTATGCATCAGGTACTATGTTAGGTGCCAGGGTCAAAAGACCGAATGAGAAAGACAGATCCCTATCCCCATAGAACTTTTGTTCTAGAAGAGGAGGCAGAGAAGTAAATAAATTCCTAATGTACTGCTAGGCTGTGAAAATGCTTTGAAGAAAAAAATAAAGCACTGCAAGAGGATGGAGAGTGAGGGGGAGGGCAGTCAGAGAAGCCTTCTCTTAGATAACATCTGAGCAGAGACTTGAATGAAGTCCAGAAGCAACTTGTGGTGGAAGAGTGTTCTAGGCAGAAGCAGTATCATGGCAAAGGCCCTGAGATGAAAATGTGTTCTATGCTTAAAAAAAGCAAGGCAGCCATTGCTCACATTGTAGCTAGCATAAAGTGAGCAATAATGACAGCAAGTGAGTTGGAGCAGTACACAGGTTCTTTTTGAAAAGGCCACAGTGCCCTGGCTGATGTGACTCAGTGGACTGAGTGCCTGCCTGAGAAGCTAAGGGTTGTGGGTTTGATTCCCAGTCAGGGCACATGCCTGGGTTGTGGGACAGGTCCTCAGTAGCGGGGGAGTGTGAGAAGCAACCACACATTGGTTTTTCTCTCCCTCTCTTTCTCCCTCCCTTCCCCTCTAAAAATAAATAAATAAAATCTTTAAAAAGAAAAAAAGGCCATGGTAAGGACTCTGATTCTATTCTAAGTATGAATGGAAGCCACTAGACAGGTACTAGCAAACCATGGTCTATAGACCATATTTGGCCCACAGCCTGTTTTTGTAAATAAACTTAAAAAAAATCCTCACCTGAGCATATGCTGATTGATTTTAGAGAGCAAGAAGGAGGGCAGGAGGGAGGGAGGGAGAGGGGTGGAGAGAGGCAGAGAAAGAAAGAGGTGGGGGGGGGAGGGAGAGAGAGAGAGAGAGAGAGAGAGACAGGGGGAGAGAGAGAGAGATCAATTTGTTGCCTCTCATACACGACCGGACAAGGGATTGAATCTGCACTCTAGCTATGTGCCCTGACTGAGGATGGAACCTGAAATCTTTTGGTGTACAGGATGACATTTCAACCAACCAAGTCACTTGACCAGGACTGTGACTAAAGTTTTATTGGAATACAGCCATGCTCATTTGTTTACCTACTGACCTTGGGCTGCTTTTGTTCTATAACAGCAGGGTAGCTGCAAAAGAGACTGTGTGGCACTAAAATCCTAAATATTTACTATCTGGCCCTTTACAGAAAAAGTTTACTGACTCTTGATCCATAGTTTTTAGGAAAAAAGTTGGTAGTTTAAAAAAATCTCAATGTAAAAGTATTTTAAAAATTAAATAAAAAATCTTTGTCCTACTTAAATTCCTAATTGTCAGTTAAACTTCAGTATACCTGAGCAAGCTAATGAGGAATTTATAATTTCAACAGTGTTTTATAAACATTTATAAGAAAAACTGATGGACTATATAATTTATAAATATATGAAAATATCACTGTCTATTACTGAATGCATGTGTAACAGTCTCTAAGTTCACATTATTTGAGAATGTTTATGTGAAAACAATATAGAGTGTATGCTATTACAATGGTGGATACACGCCATTATACATTACCCAAACCCATTAATGTACAACACCAAGAGTGAACCTTAATATAAACTATGGACTTTGGGTGATTATGGTGTGTCAGTGTAAGTTCATCAATTGTAACAAACACAGCGCTCTAGTAAGGGATTCTGACAATGGGAGAGGCTGTGCAAACGTAAGGGCAAGGGGTATGTGGGAGATCTCTGAACTTTCCTCTTAATTTTGCTGTGAACCTAAAACTGCTTTAAAAAGTAAAAAAGCCTATTAAATTTTTTTTTTTAAAGAACTTACATTATGTTAACGGCAACTCCAACAGCTGCAGTAATAAGCATGATATCTCCATTTATTTCATACTTCATATGGATGGTTCTTTGGACAGCTTCATATAGGAGGAATCCCATAAGTATATACACCAACAGCACACTAATCATAGCTGATAAAACCTCTGAAGGGAAAGATATAAAAAAAAACAAATGTATTTGCAGCGTGGTTATTATACCTCACACAAACTAAATACTGTACAATCTTTAATTTATTTAGATCTCCTTTCCTCTAAGAAGATAAAAGCACGATATTTTTGTCATGTTTTTCTTTAAAAATAGTTTAATATAGAACATTTAAAAAAACTGAAGTATAATTGACATATTATATTAGTTTTAGGTATACTATATATGTATTTTTTATATATATTTCTTTAAAAAGGGTTTAGTAGTTTGATCTGAATCCCCCACTAATTCGCTTCTACCACTCCCCACCCTTCCCTCATCTCTTTAGGGTCAAATTATGTATATTTATAGACCATACACATGGGAAAAACCGAGAAAAAAATATTTGTAACACACATGACCACAGACTAGTTTCCTAACAGACAAGTACACTTACAAATCATAACAAAGTGAATAACCCATTAGAAAAATGAATGAAGGTCATAAATAGTAATATACAGAAAATAAACAGAAATGGCCAGTTTATCAAAATACAAGAAATTCAATAAGAATAAATTTTCTTTTGGACCCTTACTAAATTGGCAAAGATTAAGGAGTTGGATAATAACCAGAATCAGCAAGGATATACTGGTGGAAGAATCAAATGGCATTATCTTTTTGGGGAGCAGTTAGCAAAACTAATCACAATTTAAAATGTATGTATTCCTTGATTCTAGGAATTAATCTGATAGAAACACATTCACAATATGCAAAGATACCTACAGGGTTTTTCGCTGCAGCTTTGTTGGTAGTATCAAAAAGGTCTAGAGACATCTTAAATGTTCACCAATAAGGAACTTAATGGATAAATTATGGTATGCACACACATATAATGGAATATCATACAACCATTTATATATATAAAAAAAGAAAAAATAGGAAAATGATAACTAGTAGAAAGATAAAGTATTACATCTGGGAAGTGGGAGTAGGAGCTTGGAGAATTTATTTTTCACTTTATTCTTTTTGGTAACATTTGAAATGTTTTACGTTTTTAACCACAAACATGTATTACCTTGAGATTAAATAAGAACAAACACATTGTTATGCATGCAAGTGTTCATGAGGGTGCTCTGACCCAGGAATTCCTCTTCTAGGAATGACATACACACTCTTGACAATTGAGTCACAGTAAGCATTCATCAAGCATTGTATATAATATCAAATAATTTAAACCAATAAAAAAGCAATTAGTAGAGGTTATAACTTGGAATACTATGCAGCTGTAAAAAATTAATAAGGCTCATTATGTTCTGATAATGAATAATCTCCAAAATATAGAGTTATGTGAAAAAAAGCAAAGTACATAACTGTGTATAGTGTTATCATTTGTGTGAAAAGGTAGAATATATGTAAATAATAATCTGTACATGTACTCTCTGGAAGGATATACAACATACTGATAAAAAACTGGTTACGAGGAAAATGGGTGAAGAGAAAGGACTTTGAACTATATATGCTTTTATACCATATGAATTTTCTACCATGTGAATATAAAGTAGAAATAATTTTATGTGAATATAAAGTAGAAATAATTTTGTCTTTTCAAAATAACAAAAAATAAGCAATGTGAAATATATACTAAAATAATTAACCAATATTATTATATAAAACAATTGTTGACACTCAAAACAAGAAAAGACTTTTAAAGAAAATTTTTCCTTTAGAGACAACAGACATTAATCCTGTTAAGTGTTAACAGGTGAAAGAATCTGGAAAACTGTTATCTGGGTCGACTCATTGCTCAAAGGTTCTAGGCAGTTCAGGTATCCTGGACTTTAGTACACTTTTATCCAACCTATAAATTGCAACACAGGAAAATTATCTAGCAGTTATAAGCTGTTTCCTGAAGACACCTCATCAATTTAGAAGAAACTCCAATAAAATCTTGGGCATTAACAGAACAAATGTTGGAGTAAAACAAAAAACAATTACTATTCAAAACCATGGTATGCCTATTCCTGACATACTAATAATGATCATACTTCAAAAGAGACGCGGGGCTAAAGAAGACAGAGAAAAGACCAGCTGAAATATACAAAGTTGTGTAGAGACATCCAAAGTATGTCCAGACTTTAAGCTCCTAGAGGATATGGCCAAGTTACATTCCAAGTCGTATTTACTATAGCACTCAGCAGAGTGGCTGGCATGCAGCAGGTATTAAAATACTTATAATAAATTTTTAGAACGAAGTTATGTTCAGCAAGGTAAGATAAAAGGCTATACAATTTAGATGGTTAAGCTAAATATGAACAATAGGTTAACACAGTCACCCATTATCTGCAGTTTTGCTTTCTGTGGTTTCAGTTATCCACAAACAACCTCTGTCCGAGAATATTAAATGGAGAATTCCAGGTATAAACAATTCATAAGTTTTAAATTGTGCACCGTTCTGAGTAGTATGATGAAATCTCACATTGCCCCACTCTGTCCCACGTAAGACATGAATCATCCCTTTGTCCAGCATAACCATGCTATATAAGCTTCCTGGCCATTAGTCAATCAGTAGTCCTCTTAGTTATCAGATCAGTTAGAGAGAGAGAGAAAGAGAGAGAGAGGTGGGGAGGGGAGGGAGAGGGAGAAATATCACATTCATATAACTTTTATTATAGTATACTGTTACAACTGTTCGTTCTGCTTTATTATTTTTTATTGTTGTTAATCTCTTGGTGTGGCTAATTTATAAATTAAACTTTATCATAGGTATGCATATACAGGGTTTGATACTATCCACAGTTTTAGGTATCCACTGAGGGTCTTGGAATATATCCCCTGCAGATAAGGGGGGACTACTGTATTTATTAAATACCCCCCCCAAAGAGTAAGTAGGATGAAAGAGAAGAATTCAGTCAAATACAAGGCAGAAAACATGAATTTCTTAAGTTATAACTGCTGATGGTAAAATATAAGTAATGTAAAGAAAAGAAATAATTTAAAAATTTAAACTGTAAAGTCTCACGTACTAGTGGGAGCTTCATTTTACTCACAAAAGAACTTTAATTCTCTTTAAAATTGGTATTTAAAAAAATACCAATTCTTCTCAAATGCTTCCAAAAACAGAAATGTCAAGATTAAACTAGCAATTAGACCACCAGTTTTTAAGGTGCCTTAATCAAATTTTAAATATAAAATTATAAAGCAATATACATTACATTTATATTCATAGCTACACAAGTTAATGACACAGAGATTTGGTTGCTTGTGAAAATCTGTAATGGATAATTAAAAATACTTTCAAATCCCCTATTATTGTTGAACATACTTTCCAGTTTTCCCGCAATAGCCCCAATGTCTGCTTTTGTCCTCACGTAATTATTAAAAGTGCCCCATTTCAGCCCTAAATGGGTGGCTCAGTGGACTAGGGTGTCATCTCATATACCAAAAGGTGCGGGTTCAATCCCTGGCCAGGGCACATACCTAGCTGGCAAGTTTGATCCCCAGTCCAGGTGAGTACAGGAGACAACTGATTGATGTTTCTTTCTTTTCCTTTCTCTCTCTCTCTCTCTCCCCCCCCACCTCCCTCCCCCTCTCCCTTCCTCTATCTCACATAAATGTTTCCCTCCCTCTCCCTCTTACGTTCTCGCTCTCTAAAATTAATAAATATGTGGTAAGGATTAAAAAAAATAAGTGCCCCATTTCACTCTGAAAAGTGTCCTGGTTTGGATGATGTTATATAGTTACCCGAGTAGGTCTGCCAGATAAAATTCTGGATGCCCAGTTAAACTTGCTTTTCATATAAAAAAACAAATAAAATTTTAGTATAACTATGTCCTATGCAATGTTTCAGACATATTGGGCACGATATATTTCAGACAAATTTGGCATGTGTGTCATGCACACAATAAATTTGGGGGGCCCACATCCCAGTGATAATTTACCTAGACATTTAAAATTACCTTTTTGTGAACTTTCAGATAAAGTAAAATAAAAGTTAAACTAAAACATAAACACAGTTCTTTGGCAAAGAGGGTTCCTACACTTAAAAGGCCCACTTGGAGCTGAAAATGCTGTTTTCCATAACACAGTTTTCACCCAAGAGAGTAGCATAAAAAGGATCCGAATGCCTACCTACAGTTAATAGTAATGGAATTCAGCTGATTCCTAGAAATTCCCAAATGACATGTTAAGAGGCTGCTATCAATGCTATCCCTTTTCCGCCAATTAATAAGGAATGTACCTCACAGCTAGTTCCCTTGGTGAAAAGCAAAGACATTCATCTGTTAGTTTTTATTCTAATTACCCATAAAATGTCTTTGAGCCAGAAAATTGATAAATGTAAAAAGGAGAAAACACCCAAAATTTTAAGTTGATTGTTAGGGTGGAGATTTATAATTAAGAAGTATAAGGCACATATAATACTACATAGCTAAAAATACTAACAGTAAATAGTAATATGGTTATTTATTCTGACAAAAAGAACAAAAAGTTCTTTCATTGTTAATAAATTAAATTTTGGTGAAATATGAATAGGACTAATTAGTGTTTAAATATTTTTCCTAGTATTTTTAACATGATGGAATGCAGATAAACATAGGCAAGATATATTTTTTCCCCACAACATTTAACAGAGATGGAAGTTTTCAATCAACAATGAAATTATGACTTGCTCCAATCTTCTCATCCGTGCTTTGGGTTGCTCTCTGTTCACATTACAATAAAGTTTTTCAAGACAAAAGAGTACATATCATATTTATATTTTTCACTTTCTAAAGCAGACACAGGAACTTTCACAATTGAAACCCTAGATTACTGTGAAAGTTACTGCCCCATTAGCTTTAGGTAAACTTGACTAGATGGAAATTTAGCAAATATGAAAAACTCTTAAAAGAGGTTTTTACTGAAATTCTAGAAAACCTATTATTATAGTAGTTCTAACATATTTTGTACTTTACACACAAATAATTAAATCACTCCACTTGGCTGGATATAGTATTGGAGGAGGGAATAAGAATAAGTGAAT